TTCAGAGAAATTTGCTGGGTGCTGGGTACTACTATTACTACTGATGAAAATAATAGTAATTATTAATAGTTGTAAGTTTAGTTGAATATTAAGCTAATATTAAAATAGTCTCAAAAAGTATCAAAGGAATTTTGGCATTTCCAGATTCTGCTTTTTATTGATTACTTTTTAATGTCTTGCAGTTTTTTAAGACTTTTTTTCACAGCTAGCAGCATTTCTTTAGATTTCCCCAATAACCCCAAAGAAACAATTTCGGCCACAGAAACAACCTCTTCTGTAGGAATGTTCCATTTTTCCATTTTACATAAATGACTGAGAGAATCACACAAGGCAGTTAAGAGCATGGTATTGCTAAGCCAAGCTGGAGACACATCCTGTTCATTCTAATGCACACCAGCCCGCAACCAGCAGCTCAATCTACTCCGGGGAAAATTACAAAGCCCAATCAATAGAAATGTGTCCTACAAAGTTAAATACCAGCTCGCCTGATAAACAGCCACTTCTCTCTGTCATCCCGCACAGAAGAAGTGTGTAGTGCACAGAGGCAACAAGGGTAGGCCATGTTTCACGTGAAGAAAATGACAAAAATATCTTTTTTTCCCCTACTGTTCATTTTAAAAATGTGACAACACTCATACAACTTTAGCTGATCTGATTTGGCTCTGTGGCAGTGGGTCAAAGTAGGTCATTTTGACCACTTTGTTAATTAATTAGATTTGAAGTGTGTACTGCAGAAATATAGACAAGGAGTTTTTCTTGGCTTTTGAAAGGTGTCATGATGCTTCTACTGTGATTTCCAGAGTCCCCAAAGCAATGGTTAGTGAGCCACTGTGGGCCTACTGTTTGTGGTGGGTATTTTAATTGGGTGAAAGGCTGTCATAGATCTTTCTGTTGGCGCAGTGTGAACACACAAGATGGAAAGACGAGATGATGTGTAAAAGAGGTCGATCTTTCCATGGGAAGGAAACTCAGTGGGATCTGGAGAGATTTTCCAAGACTATACTATTTTTAGGGCTAGATAAGAGATTTACTCACACAGTCAGGTTGTCAGGTCATCCATTCATCCATTAAAAAAACAAACACATATTCTGTTTTTTATTCTAAGTAGGATGGAGGATAGGGGGTGGGCGTGGACTGGAGTCTGTTGAAGCTGTCATTGGGCAAGAGGTGTGGTACATCCTGGACAAGTCATCAGGTCATCTATAACAAAGGACATTTAATGAATCGTCCAGTATCTTTAGCAACATGTGCAGCGTTCTTTTATGTTAATTTAAGCTCTAGCGGCTCCAGAGGGATCTTCAGCACAACACATGTAACCCTAATCCAACATATGTAAGATGTGAGGCCAACTGGTCTGTAGTCGCCCATAAACAAGGCAGCGTGTTTTCCACAGCTCAGGAACTGTTTCCTGACTGGTGTTGAAAAACTGATAAATCTGACATGGTAGTTGTGAGATGCTTTTCAAAACACTGGGACCTTCAACCTTGTTTAGTTTCTCCCATTTTTCTCCACCTGACTGCAGTAAAACACAGGACAGACGTGAGGAGGAGGAGGTCTGAGGAGATCAGATGTTGAGGGAGATGACGCTCTGTTAAGTTCCATGACCAAGCTGCAGGGTGACAGAGTAGAGGTGCGACAGGAAAGCTGTGGGCTCATAAAGGCTGTGGGGTCTCTTAGCCTATTGAAAAACAAATTAATTCTGAATTTCATCAGTTTGATCCACAATTATCTTGAAGCCGGTAATCTTTTTTATTTCCTGGCCACATATCCCTCCTGTTTTTTTGGAGCTGCCATTCTAATTCTTTCCTGTTGTCCGATGTCATCTCTATGTGGTCTGTGGCCTCAAAGCATCCTTTGAGAACATCATCAAGATCATTAGACTAGGTTTTAGTAGTCTTTGTGTCGACTGGCTGCTGCTGAACTTTGGACTTGTAAATGGAGATGAAAACCAAGTTATGGTCCGGGGGCAGTTTTTTTTAACATTTTCATAGAATAAGTTCAACATCTTATTTTATGTGGTGGTTGCAGCTGACAAACTGTTGGAATGTTGGTGACGTAGCAGAGAGGGAGCTGTGTTTAAGTCTCCAGTGATCACTGCGAATGGGTTAGGTTGTTGGGTCTGTAGCCTAGCAACAACTGAGTTGATGATGTCACGGGTTGTGTATGTGTATGATGTGAACCACTAAGGATGTAACATAAGCATCACACTGCTCTGACAAAATTTCAACTAGTTTTTCTCTTGTTTTGTAATTGATGTTGTATAAGAGTTTAATAGTGTCCTGGTGGGAGCAGTGGCCAGAGGAAGGGCTAGGAACCTTTCAAGAGCCCCGGTTCGGCAAGGCGCGGGGGAAGGAACGAAAGCAGCTAGTTCAACGAGAGGTGAGGGCAGCAGTGGAGGAGGAGAGGTCCAGCAAAGTAGTGGGACTAGATGGGAACCAGCTGGGGAGAGGAAGATCACTTGGGCTGACCTTTGGCAGGCAGAGCCACACCGCATCAAGTTCCCGGTACAAGCAGTCTACGACGTCCTCCCCAGCCCGTCCAACCTGCACACCTGGGGTCTGGTCGATACACCAGGATGTGCCCTCTGCCAGAGAAAGGGAACTCTTGAGCATATCTCGAGCTGCTGCCCAAGAGCTTTAGAGGAAACAATGCTCAAAACAATTGCAGAGAGCATCCAGGTTACCATCAGCCGTCAATAACTTCCAAGCTAACCCTCAGCTTCATCAGGGCCGGAGAGAAGCAAGAAAGATCCATCCATCATCAATACCGCTTATTCCCTGATGGGGTTGCAGGGGGGGATTGGAGCCTATCCCAGTGGTCAACGGGCGAGAGGCAGGGTACACCCTGGACAGTCCGCCAGTCCATCGCAGGGCCACGCACAAGACATACAAGGACAAACAACCACACACACTCACATTCACATTCACATTCACTCCTAAGCGCAATTTGGAATGTCCAATAAACCTAACATGAAGGTTTTTGGACTGTGGGAGGAAGCCAGAGAACCCAGGGAAAACCCACGCAGACACAGGGAGAACATGCGAACTCCACCCAGAAAGGTCCTGGGTCCCCTGGGACTCAAACCCAGAACTTTCTTGCTGGGAGGCGACAGTGCTAACCACCACACCACCGTGCCCCCCAGCAAGAAAGATATTCCAGGGTAACATCGGGGCTTTGGAGCACCGCACAGAATGGGCAGTTGAACGTGGACTTGTGCAAACAGCTGAAGTCCCCCCAGCATGTTGTCAATACCACCCTGAGACCTGACAATGTCTTGGTATCAGAGGCAACAAAGAACCTGGTCATGTTGGAGCTCACTGTGCCATGGGAAGACCGACTGGAAGAAGCTTTCGAGAGGAAGAGGACAAATATATGAAGGCCTTGTCAGCGACTGCCACAATCAAGGCTGGAAGGCAAGGTGCTTACCTGTGGAGGTGGGGTGCTGAGGCTTTTGGGGGCAATCCCTCTATAGGGCCTGTACTGCACTTGTCATCACAGGTGAGAGAAGAGGAAGGGCTCTCTGCAACAGCACAGAGGCTGCGGAGAAGGCTTCAAGGTGGCTCTGGATCAAAAGAGCGGATCCGTGGACAAATGCTGCTAGGGCACAAGCTGAGGCTAGATCAACATCAGCTGGGTCGCCTGAAGGAGGGTGTCTGATGTTTCGAAAGACCCGAAACACCCAATGAGATCAGGAAAATCACTGACTATGTGCCCCAGCTTAGCATCAGAAAATGTATCATTACAGCAAAATAACAATCAAAATCATAGTGCCGCAGTATATCGATGAAAAACTAAGCAGAGGGGATTAAAAGAACAGATAATTTACCATTTAAAAATTCAGTTGTCAAACTTTTGGAGATCTGTGGCTCCTTCTCAGTTATGCTTCTAAATTAACCCTGTGCTGGCACATTCTAATAAATCATAAGCAAAGTTCATTTTTACCTCATGGTTGGTGGAATTGTTGAGTCTCACGAAAAGTTAAACATGAAGTGTACACATATTTAGTACAGTTATAATTTTTTTATATAATTTTTTCTTTTGAATATGACAGAGGAGGCGCATAGTAAAAGATCCTCCCCACGTGAGCTAATATGGTTTAAGAACTCATCACCTATGACACCCCATACACATTAGATGTGCTCCACAAGAAAAAATAAATGTTTACCTCAAAACTGGGTGACATGGCAGCCATTTTGGATGCCCTTAAGAGATTATAGCAAGAGCTGGCTGGAAAAGACAAAGCAACACTACAATCTCCACTTTGTTTGGTCAGGTCACAGCATGCTTTTGGCACTGTGCACAAGAACCGGTGACAAAAGTTTATAGCACACTGTAGGAATCAAAGAAGACACAACCCAGTTCATGACAAAGATACCTTCTCTCTCAGATAACTATTGAAGATGCACATAAAGGAATCGGATCATGCTGATGTTTGGGGGGAAAAAATCAAAGTGAAAGAACTATAAGAAACTAAAAAAGGAATGTCATAACCTCGGTGTCAGATGCTGTTTAGTGGTGATTTTTTCACGGGCAGTAGAAAGAGCTGAGGGGGTTAATGGGCATCAAGGTCACGAATGTGAAAGCATCAATAAGTGCCAGGTCAGTTGGGCCCCCGTGGCTGTGAGATTGGCCTTATTGATTTGTGTCCCTGAAGATTATATCCAGACACAACTGAAATCCAGCTACACAAACATTCTAATCTGTCAGGGCTATTATGTGAGAGTGATGAGTTCAATGAGACCCAGACATCTCAAGCACGGCAAAAATACATCTCAAACAAGTCACTGTATTTGAATAAATAAATGAAAGAGTCTTATTTGACGTTGGTGCTGGTGAGGTGTGTGTATGTTCCAGATGGTAGTGATTGGTCGGAGCAGGGGGCTGTTTTGACAGAGATGAAATACACTGCTGAGTATTGGAGTATTGATTGGAGAGCGCGTGATTCAGCTTCTCCTCCCGGTGGACTCTGCTCCCTCATCGTCTGTATCCGCCCGCATTGATTGGTTGGTGCAGGCTGGCTCAACCTGCCCTGCGACACGGTCAAATACACGTCTGCAGCAGAGAAGCCTTTCCACTTAGCCTTTAGCCATAATTGGTATGTTATGTAATGTCAGTTGCTAGTACCCAGACTAACTAGTCCTTCAGCTTTAGTACACAGGCTTTACAATTGTTGTTGCTTATAACTATCAGATCAGATTAGTTTGTAACTTTATTAAAGCTTGAAAAAGCACCCAAAGAGCTACATGTTTAATGCAATAACCTTGGTCTTTAATGTGGTAATTGATATTGGCTTTTGAAAAGTCAGTGTTATAAAACTTGTGGAGGAATCAATAAGCTATTGTTTCTAGATTTCATAAATTTATCATGAAATCTAATGAACGTTTTAGTTTGTTTTGCTGTTATTGATTGCACAATAGTAAACCTAAAACTCCATATTGATCAGAAGCTAATACAACATTTTCAGGGGGCTTTCTTACCACACCACGTGATGCTTTTATTTCTCTATCAAAAAATATGTCAAATACTTCAGTGACAGCTAAATATAATGTGAGGGCACTGAAAATACAGAAAAGTCCTTCTTGATTGCAAATATGTGACATTATTGTTGATTTGTTATTTCTCTTTCACAAAATAGACCTCTTAGAAATGATAAACTGCACTGAAATTAAATTTGGGATGTTAGTCATAAAATCATCCAGCAAATATACCAACAAAAGCTGTTTAATAAATGCCACGTTCTGAAAGTGTGTAGATAAAAATTGATCAATTAACCCTTTACACAAGAATTTACAAACAACAAATAAACTATGTATTTTACATTAACAGACAAGTCTTAGTCTGGACACATTCTACCATTAGTTTTTATTCATCTATCCATCCATCCATTTTCTGAACGGCTTATTCCCTAATGGGGTCGAGGGGTTGTTTTTATTAATTTTCTAAATATGTCTGAAACTGCTGTTACAGACTCATTGACCATTTCCAGTCTTTGCGCCAGAGGTTACAGTTATTACAGAAACTGAGTTAAATATCTAAGCACTAATATCAACTCTCAAACAGACCTGTAAAATACCTTAATATACTGTAAGCATTTGTCACAGAACTATTAACTATATTCCTGTTCCATTCAACAGTTTTATATTGGGACATTTCATAACTGTACCCACATTTCAAGACCCTGAACCACCAATTTGAAGACGACAATGACAGATGTCTCTTTATGTTGATGGCATCTAACAAATAGTTGCATTCAACAAACTACAAAGACGAAAACTAACTGCCAGGGAAAACAAATTAAATCATCCATCAGCACAAACGGACATAGCTTTGCAGTGCAGGAGGGGAGTGTTAAACTAGTTTAATTAAAAAAGGTCCAGAAGCTTGGTAAATGTAAACAAAGGGATCTTATATCAGATCAGTTCATATTTTAGGATCGAACATTGTTCCAGCTAATCTAGAAAATTGTGCATCATTGAAAATTTCGAGATAATGTCAGGTTAATGAATACAGCTCATCAATTTCACTGGTGCAGCTGCTGAGAGCAATTTCTCCACTTTAGGACTTTTTCATAGCCCGAAACAAACTTAACTTTTTAAATTCCAACTCATCCCTAGATTGGATTTTTCTGGAATCACTAAGAACAAATCACAGAATAGGAAAGAAGATGTTTAAATCTTTTCTTTCTTTAGTCATCATGGGAAATGTCAGATCAATCACAGTTCAATATATAAATAAAGAGACCTAAAAAGACTTAACACAAGTTGGGGAAGCGACTGTTTCACCAATGCACAGATATTGGAATAATTAAACACCTATCTATCACCTTTCAGACTTTACAGGCATCGAAGAGTGCAGACAGGGATTACAGTGTAAAACAAAAGAAAAAAGCTGGTGTAATCTTTTACATGTATTTAAGATTTAACCTCTGTGCAGCCCAGAACTAATTATGGTCTGTGAGTTTGTGTGTATGTTGTCTCCAGAGTGAGAAAAAGTGTGTTACCAGGTTAAAGCCAGTCTGCAACAGCTTTTCCTTCTCTTTCCTTTGTCAGTGGATGGATAAGTTTTGAAGACAGTGAAGGCTTATACCATTTTTTTCCTTACATAACGAAGCTGTATATATGTATTTACAACTTCATGATGTTTTTTTATTTTCAGTCTCAGTGACCACTCAAGGAAACATTCTCCTTTCTAGCATTCACCTTTGGAGCACTTTCTAATTATACGGAGCGTGTCACGTAAACACTCCTATATTTTTACAACTGATATTCAAGGCAAACACTGGCATGTGGAATTTTGGGACCTAAAGTTTTAACACTTTTTGTGTCAGAGCATATACACTTTTTAAACCAATTTATAACCAAGAAAATTAAAACTGAATCAATTTAATAACCACACAGATTAGTTCTAATAGGTATTCGTGGCAGAACATAACTCTAACTTTTAATGAACACCTGTTAGTCAGCGAGAAAGCTCTGCAGGAAAATCATGAGGGGCCATTACCAATCCATCTGAATCCTGTCCAACTGCTGATATTCACTTAATCTGCTCCACAGCTTTATCTGAAACTCCAAACATAAAGAAAATATGTTCAACTCTTGAAATACTGATGCCTGGACGGCTTTACCCTTTGTGTGATTTGTGTGAAATACAGAAAAATCATACCATAAATATAGCATTGCACAGCTGCAAAATTGAACCGAAACAAGCATTAACATTTTTTCTTAGAACTGTTCAAGAATAGCAAAGAACAGGAAAAAAAATCTGTAGTAATGCATAATCAGGACGCTTGTCTGACTCATATCTAGAATATTGGTTATCAGGTTCTTTGTGTGGGTCAGAATACTTTTTCATGTGTCATTATTTTCTTGGACGAGTGAAACCCGATGTGATCCTATTTTCTCCTAGATTGTAGAACGTCCTGGATGTTCCGGTTGGGAGGAACTGTCCACTTCATTTACTACTTCCATTTGTTAAGGCTTTTATGAAAGTCAAACACCATCTGCTCGGCGAAAACACCTCTGGAATCTTCCATACGAGCATGTTTGCTTCTCCAAAATACTGACTGCGTAAGTTTATAAAAAAGGACATTTGAATTATGCTTTTATACTGTTTACGTGGCCTCTTGAGGGTTTTATCTTGATGATCAAAGTTAAGTTTGTCATTTTAGAATGGATGTTGCAGAATGTTAGGCTGTTAAGATTGGCAATCAAGCAGTTCATATGTCTAGATTCACAGAAAACTGTCAGACTTTGGTGTTCAGCTGTCTCTAATACATTAACTGTCACTGCTGAAGACATTTATCTGCATGCTTTGGAACTAGTTGTCTATTGTTTTAGATTTTAGATTCACTCTGAAGGACTTGAGCTTAATGTAAAGGAACATTTATCCCGTTATTCCTTGAAATTCATCTTTTCTCTACATGCTGGCTGTTAATATGATTGGAAATTATTTGAAATAAGGGGAAAAACCACCCAGTAATTTTGCCAGTGTTTAATAGATGTTGTAAGATAAGTGAAAAAAGTTATTTGGAATTGAGCAATATATGTTAGTAATTTCAATTCATTTAAATAAAAATCCTATTAGAATTATCTTTAAATTAGATTCTTTAAGCTTGCACTGATGTCCTAAAAGACATTTAAGCATCAAGCAAACTACATGTGCTCCAGCATTGAAGAATTGTAATTTTACACTTGTCTGTCGACATCTCATGTAAGAACAACCATAAATACATAAATTGTCCTTGAACCACGTGGGGTGTTGGACCCGGTTAAGGAAAGCTGGGAGGAAGGTCCAAGCAAAACTGATAGCAAAACTCCACACACTAGGGCAGTTGTTATGTTAATCCCTTATGAAGGATGGATCACCCGTTGGTATCTGGCTTTAGAGCCATTTAAGTTCAGCGTGGTCCATGGGCCAGGGACACAGATGGTTGTGGCCAACTTCTTCTCTCCACCCAGCATGTGGATTGGGATTTGGGATTGAATTAATCGTGGATCCATGTCTTGAAATGGAGTCAACTCTTCTTTAGGTACATGACAAAAATGGCATCATCTTGGCTTGTGTCTTCATGATGAAGTGATAAAAGATGCCAGACTAAAGAAGTTGATCCTGATTACAGCAATAAATAAACCTAAAAGACAGCATCCAAGTCGTTGGCAAATTTTAAAAAAGAACAGTATGTATAGAATGTACAGAGCAGCAAAGTTTTTCAAATCAGTGTTTGATAAGGAGTATTTTTGTTCTAGCTCTATTCTAAACCTACAAATTTGGTCTATGGTCTCATAGGATGGAAGCACAGTGGTTTTGTGGTTAGCACTATTGCCTCACAGAAAGATGGTATCCAGTTCAAATGCTGGGGGCCTTTCTGTGCAGTTTGCATGGATTCCCTCTGGTTACTCCCCTGTCCAAAAACATCCATGTTCTGTAAATTGAACACTGAATTGTTCCTTGGAGTGAATGTGAGTTTGTATGGTTGTTTGCTTATGTGATGGACTGCTAATCTGACTAGGGTGTACCCGCCCCTTGCACAATGTTGGTTGGCATTGGGATAGGCTGTCCCAGGAATAATCCATATGGATAAGGAAAGCTGAATGGGCCTGGTTTTCAACCTAGCAGAGTTGGACATACTTTGGTCAACACATCAATGTTGAAAGGACCATTTGATAGCACAGCAAAGCTCCCTCAACTCAACCATGGACATAAACCTTAAGTGGCTAAAGTCCCTGACAAAATGTTGGTCACTGTTCGATCATGTGCTGCAATTAGTTATTGTGTCAACATTAAGTGGATGAAGGATCTAAATGCAGGACCAAGGAGGGAGACACTGTGACCACGAACCAAGAAGGGAAAAATTTGTTTATTATGGGGCAACAAAAAATGCAGCATAAGCTGGATAAGACTAAAACTAAACAAGCGGGGAAACCGAAAACAAAATATAAAAATACAAAACCAAGAAACCAGACAAAGAGACAAGACCTGAGGTAGGAACCGTGGAGGACATGACAATTGCGAGGTGATGAGGGTTAATGAAGACAGCTGACACGGTAATGGCCGTGAACAGTCGGCAAGGAACGTTTCTAGGGCTCTTCTATGTTT